GTCGAAGAATTGAATATTCTCCTACTCGATCTGCTTGCATCTTCACTAGAATATTCAGTCTTGCCAGCTTCTGGTTTTAAAGAGGCAACATCCAAAACCGAGACGAACCTGTCAAGAAACCAACAGAGTTCAACAAGAATGAACTTTACCATATCTAAACGTTGGGGAAGAAGAAGGGTAACCAAGAAAATCAGTAACTCGCAAATAAAGAGATCTGCGGAAGTGCAATAACTAGACAATAAGAACAGCAATATTCTAAGAGATCTTAGGCGAATATTGTATCTAATTTTCAATGAGGGAAAAATGGAGAAGCATGGAGTATGCCTCAAAATTAAAAGTCTTCAATAAGAATGGCTTTTTCTTTTTCTCTTTTTACTCCGAAAAAGCACCATCACAGAAAAGACAACCTATCATGTGTGCAAACGCACACACACTTAAAATTCAGACTAAAGATAATTATACTTAAAAGAACTGATTATCAGCCGGACTATAAAATATTATCAGTTTTGTCATAATTGATATGATATCATACCGGGTTGTCAGATTTAATGCTCTGAAGAGTGCCACAGACAAAGCAGCAATCTGCAACAAAAATGACATTAGAAAATTAGTAGAAAACAAAGCAATATTAAAGCAATAAATAAAACATTTGTAAATGAAGACTAAATCTTGATCATAGACTCCAAAAGTTCATAAGTACCAGTCTACATCCAGCACCAGTGACTAGGTTTACATAAGATAACTGAATTCAGATGGACTCAGCCACATTTAAAACCCCTAACTGAAATGATATTAGGAAAAAACTGACCTCTTCTTGAGTTCCTTCATGAGTTTCAAGGGCAAATTTCAGACCCGAAGAAAATGGCCTGCTCACACTTGTACTTCGAACACGGAAGTTACTTTGAAACTGCAAATTATATGTGAACGAACCAACAAAAATAGAACAATCATATGCTAATCTACAAGTCTGCATGTATATAAAGTAAAATTAAAGACGTACCCAGAAGACTAGAGGACTAAAATCCTTTGTAGTAAGGTTTGCAACCTTGGATGTATTCAGCACGTGTAGTGGAAGCAGAGAAAGTAAAGCTGCCTGCCACAGTAATCAAATTTCCTCAGGAAGAAGTGGCATAGGTTCTTTTTCGTACCAAAAAATAATCAAGAGAAAGATTCTCTTCCACTCTCCTCAATTACTAATACTATTTAACCAAAAAAAAAAAAAAAAAGAAAACCTGAATAAGAGCATCATCACAAGCTCTATCAATCAACCTTCCCCGTGCAAGTAAACAAAGTAAATGAACCCTATGAACAAGCTCAGCCAGTTCCTGCAAGAAAACCAGTAATAAAGTTGTCATAACAAAGATGCCAATGTAAATGCTAAATGAAAATCTTTGATTCACCTTATCTTCAGCAGAAGCCCGATGGATACGTTTCTTTCTTGTAGAATCTGGCGTCTCATTTAATTCAATAGTCACTTCATGATCACCAGCGAAATTAGAAATGGGTATTGAACCCTCTTCCCAATCTGAGTCATCCAGTTCTTCCCTAATGTTTGTGGAAGTGCATCCAAAGCTTTCCCCATCAACTTTCTCTTCTGCAGAGACCTTTCGCTTTGCATCTTTACTACAACCCTCAGATTCCAAAATATTCCCTCTGACTCTTGAATCGACATCTTTGTCTCTTTTTGGCTCACTCTCAGGCTGAAATTTAAACAGCCTAAGACAAACCCTCCACTTTTATAAGTATTTGATTGATTTTCCGAAGTATATGTGCTCATATAATGGGGACAAACCTTTCCGATTGAATCACATGGATGCAGATTATTGTTAGATTTCCTTTTCCCAGTTTTATTGGCACGCCCCAGAAGTTTGCTGACAGCCTCATGTGATATGTCAGCAAGAGTTCCTGAAATCAAGATTAAGTGCTAACTACAAAACCATGACATAATTTGTTGACGCTCCCTAAGCAGAGCATAGTTTTAACCAACAATAGCATTAATTTCACGGATGTGCATTGCCATTAAATGACTCTAAGTGTCTTCTGATGCTTTCCTTCAACGTGCAATGCAACAAATATACAGGCAGTCACACACAGAGCAAAAAATGCAAATAAGCAAAAAGAAAACCAAAAAAAAAGGCAACCAGAAGCATGTGCTAATCTCAATGCATATGCACCGCAGATGTGCAAATGTACTTCAATGCATATGCACTGCAGAATTGCTAATCTCAATACCTAAATTCCATTTTTCGTACATGTGCTTTATCTCTGGACTCTAATCAATTAATTAGCTTTCTGAAAAACTAAAATAACAACACTCCGCTGAACTCAAACAGGAAGTAGACACTAATGTTTAATTCAATTCCATCTCACTAAAATTCATAAAGTCTTCAAATTTCAATTTCTCCTCCTTTCCGGAGGCATGGGGCCAAGTTGGCTAGAGCAGTATGCTCCACCCTCTTCACCCAAGTTTGAATCCCCCACCTCGTAGTTCAGAAGAATTTAGTGTAATTATCCTATCGTTTGTCCAAAAATAAAAAAATTCTCCTCCTTTCCTCCCCCAGAAATCCTCAGCAACCCAAATAAGCAAAGATTCTATTAAAAAAAAAAACAGAAACACCAACGAGCACTCCGAAACGAAATCAACCAACCCAGAAGTTTCTTGTGGATTATCTTTCCTCCACAATGCAATATACTGTAATTAAGTATAAAACGGCAGCCATTCTAATCGTTGCATCGTTGGTTAACCCCAAATTGAAGTTTTTGGCTTTTTCATTTTTCTGCTTACTTTCTCGCAAACCAAACAGAACCAGAAAACAAAACAGAACAACGAGTTTGTAGGAGCGGAGAAAGCAATGAGAATCTACCTGATGACGATTGTTTGGAACGGTTCGTCTTGTTTTCGCTTCGCATTTTTTGCAGCTTCAACCGTTGTGAGAGAGAGAGAGTCCTCGCGCGTAAAACTGTTGAAGAAAAGGGGGAAATCCTAAGAACCCTACTAAATTGGCCCTTTGTCTTAACTGTATTTTTATTTTTCGATATAAAAATTTTGGATAACAGAATATAAAATTTTAAAATACCAATAACAATTCAATTTATTCTTATTATTATTAATTTCTTTCTCACACTACCAAATCCGAGTTCGATATGAAGCGGATGGTAGAACTCCTGGTAGAAAGAGATTTCGCTAACAAAAAAAAACTTTCAATGTTGCCCCACATCTCTTCCTTTTCCAAATTTTTTTGTGAATATTGGTTTTTTTTTTTTTTTGAAATAGAGGTGTGCTTCCTTGGAACTGCCATTAAAATGTTATTATAGGATTTTTGGTTGGACGTGAAAGACATCTATTCTTCAAAATCAATTGTGCTTTGCTATTCTCTTATCTATTTTTTTTTCTCTAAATTAAACTTCAAAAAAAAAAAAAGAGCGGGGTGTTAAAAATCACATAAAGTATCAGTAAGAATGATAAGGTACACTATGCCAAATAGATTGAAGTTGATACAATAAAAAAATATAATACAAACAAAAACGAAAGATTGTCCGTCATTTTATTCATATTTTTGCCATGTTACATTTATACATATAATAAAAAAATCTAAAAATTTAATAACCCAACCCCATCAACCACTCAGCCATCTTTCCAAAAGATAATTTCTATTTTATTTTTATTCCACCCTAGAACACGACATATGAGTTGATATCATCCTCTAGTTCAAACTTGAACCCGATCATATACGTATACTAAATTATTAATACAATTTTTAAAAACTAGGTTTGTGTGTCCTCTTTATTGGTCTTGTAGTGTCTCATTTTTCTTTTTTTACTAATACAATTGCGTGGAATTTAAAAAAAAAAAAGTTATTTTCTTTGTTATTAGTTTTGTTTTGTTTACATACTTACCTAGTTGTTTATTGATTAACTTGTGCTGCATAATCAAATTTTAGAGATTTTCTTTATGATAAGCAGGTTGGTTGGTGCGCGTTTAAAGGTTATGAACAACACCGCCCAACCCCGCCCTCCCGTTGCCATCCCTATTTGAAAGTAACATTAAGATTTTCTTTTGAAATAGATTAAAACGCATATTTTTGGCAAATTTTAAAATGTATGTCAAAATTTAACTTAAAAATTATAAAATAAAAAAGTTATTAAACCAAATACAAGACTGAAGATAATAATGATCAAGAATAACAAATCTGCAGTTGTTACATTTGCTTTCTTATATAATATTACCATATGGGCGCATATAAAGTGTGTGAATCGGTTTATTTTTTATTTTATTTTAAAGGATTGATAGAGAAGAGAATGAGGAGAGAGGCTTGTTTTTATTTTTATTTTAATTAGAAATATGTTAGAGTCACAAGCAAGTGATGCATTAAAAAACAAAAGGGTAAAATTTTGATCTTGTGAAATTACATTATTATCTATGTTATTTTGTTTATATTCAGTTTTGATTAGAGAGAGGTTTTTTTTTTTTTTTTTTTTTTAACAAATGATATTATTTACATTAAGGGGATGGGGATGAATGGTCTAAGCATTGGTTCACATTCGCCTTTTGACGAGTATCAAACTAAAGACCTTTTCCTTACAAGTGAAGAAGAATACCACTAGATCGTAGTACTAAATAACTGTTTAATTAAATTGTCAGAATGATAATTTTATGAGGTTTTAGTTGACAATGAATGTTGTTTATATGTCCAAACAAAAAATGAAAAAAAAAATAGAAATATAACAAAAAATCTTACTAAAGAAGAAATAAATAAATAATAGTGTTATTCACACACTTACTTTTCTCTTTTTTTATACTCTTGCTAATTTTTCTTATTAATCTTTTTTATTTATCTAATCGATGATCGAAATTATTACAAGTTTATCAGAAATAAAAATGGCGGTGTGAATAGATAAATAAGTAGATATCATTGATGATCTGTGTCCCAACCGCGTACGAAACAGCGTTTCCTCCACAACAAGTGAAAATCCCAAACACCCGCCTTTTCCCTGAACTTACCACAAAACAAGTGAAAATCCCAAGCACCGCCTTTCACAGAACTTACCACAAAAAGGGCCTTGGGAAACCCTAATTCCTGTCCTCTGTGTTATAAACCTAACCCACTCGTCTTCGTCCACATCTCACACTTCCCTTTCTCACAGCGCCCAGTCTCTCTTCCTCTCGCACTTTTCTCCTCGATCGTTTCTTCGGTTCGCCGGAACCGTCTCTTCTCTAATCGTTCTCTGGTATGTTCCCTTCTCTCTTTCTTTCTGTGCCCTAATTCTTTGTTACTGTACACCTTTTGGGGTTTCTGATTTGAAATCTTTGTAATTTTGTAGATTTATTTCTTTGTTCTCGTCGATGCGAAAATTCGCTTTGATTTTAGGTTTTTGCTGATCCGATTTGCCCCTTTTTGACCTAAATGAGTAATCTTTGATTGCTGTGTGTATAATATGATTCACGAGTTAGATGTTGTCGTTATATATATAATTTTTGTTCTATTTTTTGTAATTGCAGGTTTAGATCTCATTCGTAGCAAAAGGATTTCAATTGTAATATCTTGATTCGATGTCGACCGCTTTGGATATGTCGCTTGATGACATGATTAAGAACAGCAGGGGTAATCGTGAGAGAAATAGAGAACAACGTGGTAGGGGTTCTCGTGGCCGTGGAGGACCACGTGGCTCCTTTAATGCTGGGAGGATGGCCGCTGGCAGAATTCCAGCTGGAAGAATGGCCAGTGGAAGAATTCCAGCTGGAAGAATGACAGGAGGAGTTCGTAGAGGTCCTCTCACGGTGAATGCTCGGCCATCCTCGTATACCATTGCTAAGGCAAGCTAAAAACTGTAGATGTTTAATGATATGCTTGAGAAATGATTTTATATCCCAAATGCATGAGGATCTCTTAAACACATAGAAAGTCAAATACGAGAGGATCTGTGACGTATGTTGTTCATGGAGAAGCTCATTTTGGCTCATCTTCTAAAGCGCTATCAACACCCACTGCATATGTACCGTTATCTTCAAGATTTATCTGTACTTGTGGGTTCTTGTGTTATTTTTCTGGGGACTTTGAGGAATGGCGAATTATCTTGTTATCTATTCATAAGCTGACATTTATTTCCCCCATCTGGATCTTTTTCTGCATGCTTTCATCAGTCTACCCGCAGAACCAAGCGTTTCCCATGGCAGCCTGATTTGTTTGAAGACAGCCTTAGAGCTGCAGGGATATCAGGGATTGAGATTGGCACAAAGTTATATGTTTCCAACTTGGACTATGGAGTGACAAATGAGGATATAAGGGTACAACTTGAGCCATGTACTTTCATCTTATGCGCTTTCTTATCGAATTTCTTGTAACGTTCTCCTGAAACATCAACTGCAACTGCAACTCAGGAACTTTTCTCTGAGATCGGAGAGCTGAAGCGATATGCAGTACATTTTGACAAAAATGGTCGCCCAAGTGTGAGTTTTTTTGCTCAGTATTTAAAGTTCTTCCCTCTTATATTCTATCGTAATAGTAATAACAGTTTTGCTTATATTGGGCACTGATTTTTAGTTTAAGATCTTGATATTTGTTATAGATTCTACAAAGTAGTCAAATAAATCAAACTTGTATTCGAAGTCATGGTATTCATTTTAAAATCCTGGTATTTGAACAGATTTGAAACTAGCGTGGTTCAATTGCGTTCAATCCCTATGCGGTTTCCATGTTAGCACGAGTAGACATTTTGGAAAGCGTTGCTCTTGTTAGTTTTCTCTTAAACGTTCTAATCCAAACGAGTTCCAACAAACTCTGTATATATCACACCCCTAACTTCATTTGTTTTTACATTGTTTGAGAGACATTGTGCTATGCTTGTCCATTAGATGTTTGATGTTTAATATTAGTCTGCCCTTTGGGCTGGATGGTTCTGCAAAAGCCAGCCGAGGTGCTATTTCCTCGTGTCATGATGTATCTACAACATTGGTATATGTGATACTCTGATATTTGAGCTTGATTTGTATTTTGATGTAGTTTATTTATGTTTTGACTATTGATATGGTTTGTCCATTAAGGATTGTTGGTATTGTTCAGGTCTCTTGTCTCTGGTTATATGTTTTGCATTATTCTTAGCCAGAGTATAATTGTATATGTCCTTTTTACTATTTCATAGACAGGTTACCTTGGTGATCAAGTTTCATTGAGGGAAAATTTCTTCTTGTGTTATCAGGGTTCAGCTGAAGTGGTTTATACTAGAAGAAGTGATGCATTTGCAGCATTGAAGCGGTATAATAATGTTCTATTGGACGGGAAGCCTATGAAGATTGAGATTGTTGGTGCCACTGCAGGGATGCCTATTTCAGCTCGTGTGAATGTGACAGGCATGCATGGAAGGAAGAAAAGGACTGTTGTAATGACGTATGCTTTCTTTTTCCCCTTTCAGATTCTGCTTCTATCATAACTTTTAAGCAACTAATGCAATCATGAGCATGTACCCTGTTATGCATAAAACCAGATATTATTAATTGATTAAATTACACTAGAGATATATCAAGTTGTCGACATGCTTGCATCTATAGGCTACAGAATACAGGACGTTGGAGATGCCCATCACTAATTGTATCAGTCTTAGTGTAAATTCTACCAGTTTTTTTGTCTGCAGTTATGGACAATGCCCATCTCCCGTTTACATTATCTACTATCTTACGATGACACGAGGAACATTGTCATTTGTTATTTTCTTTTAGATGGTTTGGTTGAATGTGAATATATTAATATTACCAACAAATTTATTTTACTTGGTATGAATTGATGCGTTCCATTGTGATATCAGTATGTCCTTAGTCTCCGGTGGGTGGGATTCCCAGGTTGTGGGGAGAGGTTCTATCCGAAATCCTCAGAAGTACAGTCTCAATGTTACCATCTATTCTCCCTTTTGTGAAAGTAGGGGGTGGGGAATCGGGAGAGTGCTCCTTTGGGTAGATGGTGGGGGTGTCATCTTTTGATCTTTATTTCCTTCCTCATTTAGTTTTGAATTGCAGTGACTCGGAAACTTAGATAGTTCCAGTTGTGCAAACGTTTCTCCTGTCTTCTTATATATCTTTGCATTCAAATGCAAATCCTTTTTTTCTCCAATGGTCACCAGTCAACTGGATCCTTCCTAGGTTGATTTGGCAGCTGGTATCCTGACTTCCAACCAAGGCAAAAATTCTCTATTGGTTGGTTGTACATGGAAAAAAGACCTGTTGCATGTTAATTTCTACGTTGGAGTGTTTTCAGCAAGGAGGGGAGCAAATGGGCCATTTATTTTTTTCCTTGCAGATGCACAAGACCAATTTAGAACAGATTGTTGGAGGGAATTGGTTGGGTGTGGGTGTGCCAGAAGAACTGTTACTGAGGATTAACTGGGTTATGGTGTTCTGACTGTTGGTTTAGGTGTTTTCTGGGTTTGGTGCTATGAGATGTACTGCTTGTTCATGGTTCTTGTAGTTCCTTTTGTATCTTCTTAGTATAATTCATATTTATTATGACAAATATGTTGCATGTCTCCTGATAATCGGTTGTTTACTTTCCTGGATGTCAGTCGGCATAAAAAGTTTCTGATACTCCATGATTAGTTAGGCTCTTTGTATGTTGCGAGCTGCTGTTACTGTTGGATGAGATAAAGTAAGGATATTTATATCTTTGTTCTCCACTTACACAATTTTTAATGCAGGCCCGGACCTGGTAATGCTGGTGGCTATGCTATGCCTATGGTTAATCATGGTCCTAGGTAAGATCTTATCTTTTACCTTGTGACAATGCAATTGTGTCTTTTTGAACTATCACTGTCTTATTTTAGTGACGTAATATGCTAGAATTCCAATGTTTGGTGCATTTCTTAAAAAGAACTCTAAACTAAAAATATTAGATGTATATGTTCAGTCATCTTAGATGATGTATTAAATTGTTGGATAAAAATATAATGGCCACTGAGCAATGATACAGATAAAGTTGAAAGAGTATTAGCATGCTCGTCCATGTGCAAGGATGGTACGCATAATAATTCAATATAAATCTGAGGGCCGGTTTATAGGACCACAGTTTAGGGCATACAAGTAAATTATATGTGTTCTATTAACTGTTGAGTTTTATTCAACGGCTTAAAAGTTAGAGCATGGTAATTACTTTATTAAAAGTAGGGTAAAACTTAGGTTTGAAGTGTTTTTTAAGATGGGTGATGAGGTTTCAATTTTCTCATATTGCACCCTAAGGTTTTGTAATTGTATCATTTTACACCTTTTGTCTATTTGAATGTTTAATTCTCCATTAAATTAATGAGATTTTTAGTCAAATTAGTACAGATGTGGCTTATATTATATGTCAACCCAATTACGGCTTCAATGCTCACCATGTCATCAATTTGATGAAGATTCTATTATTTTGTTAGACAAAAGGCATAAATTGAGACAATTTTAAACCCTCGGGATGTAATGTGAAAAATTTAAAACCGGCCCAATTTGAAATACCTAAACCTAAAGGGTGTAAATTGAGTTAGCCCTTGGAGGTGTAATAAGATCTCAAGTTTTGTAGCATGCACACACGTAAAAGGGTATGGACTGCAGTCGTATTTTCTCTACTGCTATCTCTGTATGATGTTCTATGGCTGTCTGGTTGCCAAATTGATATTGCTAGTTGGGTATTTTTGGGATGTCAATGAGATGACAAGTAGGTGGTGTGGGATCCTTAAAGATGGACAAGGCTTCAAATGTGTTGCAACTCAATAATGACTGCAGTAGCCTGCCTTAGCTTAGAAATGTATGTCACTTAACCACGTAAGAGCAAATCTGTATGATGAATTGAGTTTAGATGGTCGAATTCTTGTTTCTCTGTTTGGATGAACTCAGTAGACATATTTTAGGTACTATGAACTGATTTAGTTGTTTATCAGTGACCTAGTTATAGTTTTGTCAAACTGCATTTCTACTTATTTGTCATATCAGAACGCATCTTTCCCTGATCAGACAGTATAGAAATTTCATTGTACAAACTATTCTGATCATTTCTGAGTTGTTTGACTTCTACTTTGAAATCCCATTTTAACCAGACTTTTTTCAATTATCCTCGTGACTGCTATTTCAAGCCGTGATTAGAGTTACAATGATTTTGGATTTTGTAGTAGGAGCAGTCGTGGAGGGAACAGAAATGGTCGCGGCAAACCACGTGGGAGTGGCAACGGCAGTGGTCGTGGACGCGGGCGTGGTCGTGGTGGAGAAGGGAGGAAGAAGCCTGTGGAGAAGTCGGTTGATGAACTCGACAAGGAACTCGATAGCTATCATGCAGATAACATGCAGGGTTAGTTCAAAACTGGAGCTGTGGAACTTTGCTTGCTGGTATCAGTCAGTGTTTGAGCTATGGTAGCTGTACAAAATATGACGGTTGTGATTTTCGGGATATAGACTAATTTCTGCTTGGATGTTCTCTAATGCTTTTCATCATAGGCCAGCAAATTTAGAGGAAGCAAAATGTTGGCTTGATTTGGAAGTTGTTTTGTTGGTTGGTAGCATTTTATTTTGTGTAAAACGATGCTTTAATGTATGTTCCTATGATTTTGCTAAATGAGATAAATTAGTTGTGTATATTGTTTTTGCTAGATCGCACCAATCGCCCAACTTTTCGTTTGCATCTTAGACCCAGTTTTATGAGTTACATTATGAATTTACCCGATGCGGGAAGTGCATCTGCCGTTACAGAGAGTTGTGGTATGTCGTTGTCGGAATTTCTTCCCGTGTGCAGATGGGTGTGGCGTGGTAACGGGTTTAAAGCGTGGCGAAAGAGATGAATATGAAGAACGGGAGTAAATTAAGGGTGGGCAAATGGGTAGTGGAACCTTGGGTTGGGGCGGGTAATCTAGGTTTGGGGTGGGTATGGGACGGGTTCTAATGGGCAGGGCGAGACGGGCTGAGTTCAAATATTGAGAAGAACGGGACCCCGGATCGGCCCGTTTCTTAGTCCATCATCTAGGATCCCATCCCCTAGTCTGTAACTCGACTCATCTCCTCCCACCCACACACTCTGTCACTTGTCTTCTCCTCCTCAACCGCGACGACATCAAACTCAAAACCGTTGCCACTGTCGCACCACCCATCTCTTGATTTTCCTCCTCAACAACATCCCAAACTCAGAGAACCCAGGTCCAGAACCACGACTGCTTGATTAGCTCGTCCTCAACAACATCACGTTGAACTCTACAGTCCCAAGCAAAGAGGACAAAGACCGAAATCGACCACCATGCCCTCTGTTCTTAGTCTTCCAGTGTCTCCTCTCATATCTTAATTTTCTGCAAGATTGGGCATCTGGCCCATCTGGGTTTTCATTAATCTGCAGGTACAGTGGGAAATCTGAGATGGGGTTTCTTTTTCTTCTTTTTTTTGAATTTGTTGTGGAGTTTAGACTTTGGTCTCATCCTTCTTCGATTTTGTTTCTAATGTTTAGATTAAGGAAAAATTGAAAGACAATGTCTCTTGCATGTTGTTATCTATGTAGGGATCTTGCAATCGAAGGGTATAAACCTAGATCCCTTTTGTTGATTTTGAAAAGGAACTAGGGACAAAGTGATTGATTTTGAGTCTACTATTGAAATGGTATAAACCTAGATCCCTTTGTTGATTTCAGATAAATGGTGCCATGATTTTATATGTATGGATCCACAAAGGGAAGTACATACAAGGCGGTGATGGAGTCCGAGTTTATTGTGATGGTGAAGCAGCTAAAGGACCCGAGGATGGAGGAGTTTAGGAGACACGTGGACTTGCTAAGGAAGCTGAGGCACCCATACTTGGACCCGTAGGAACTGGCCCGTTTCAAAAGAGTCGGGTTAGGTTTGGATCCCATTTTGAAAAATCCAAAACCCGCCCCGCCCCATTTTATTTACAAACGAGTTCGGAGAAATTAATATTTTAATATAATCCTTGGAGAAATTAATATTTTAATGAACAATGCCAGGCCATATTTCTTACCATCTCTAACCGAGGGATCAAGGGGTCATAGGCCAAGCATAGCCCTGTGACAAAAAATCATCTCCAAACGAGGGGGCAAAAGGACCATGGGGCCAAACATAATTTATTATTTTAATTGAATTAATATGGTTACTTAAATTAAACTACCTCAATAATTTTTTGAGATGGTATGTCAATAATTTGCCGAGTTGGAATCTCAATAATTTTACGTCTCGGATTTCGAGTGCCATGTGTCAATATATAAGTAACTTTGTAGATTTTTTGTTGATAATGAATCTCAATAATTTTACGTCTCGGATTTCAAGTGTCACTTGTCGATCTGTGAGTAACTCTCCAGATTTCTTGTCGATATGAGTGCGATGGCTATATTGATGGAGAATCTAATGACAATCAAGATGATCCAAATAGGCCAAGGAGGGCTCGTGCAAAAATATATGGTGGGCCTAATTTGGATTTCGATCTAAGAACTGGTAATATCTCGTTAAACGAGTACATGAGGCGCAATAGGATGATATGTTCGTGTGCCATATAAAAGTACCTACAACATGATCTTGTTGCACATCTTTGAGCCAAAAGAAGCATGGAGTAGACATTTAAGTTTTATGTTACTTAATATCATTTAATGTTATTTTATGTTGTTAAATTTTTAAGGTTGTTTAAGTTTAATGTTATTTAATGTTGTTTAATGGCTTAGATAGTTATAGGAAAAAAAATTAGAATTTTTAATTTTTTTTTTATAAAAAAAATCAAATTTAACGGCTAGCAGACGTCAACAAGTAGCCATTGGAATTCAAAATGCTGGACCAACCCTGGCTGGTTGGCTGGCTGTTTTGGGCCAGCCGTTTGGCCGATTCTCCAATTATGGCTCGGTGGGCCCACGAGCCCTTTGGTCTTACCTTCAGTTGAAGACGATTTTTGTGTCATTTTTGACTATTTTCGACCTTATAGTCCTCTAGCAAGATCGGTTGGAGATGGCTTTAGTTTTGATGACACTGGTTAGTGGTTAGCACTATTCTCCGCAATTTTTCAAAAGAAATCCTGCTGTAGGCTACAGAGCCCGTCCTATAATTTTTCAGTCTATGAAACGGGGCCCACTCAATTCTTCCAGATTGTACTGGATGCTTCTTCCCTTCTAATCCCCACCGTCGAACACAACGCCGCACTCAAATATTCAAACTCCTCGGCCTTTCCCAGCTCTCTATCCGTCTCCGGTCTCCTCTTCATCCCAAAAAAAAAAAAAAAAAAAAAAAGAAAAAAGAAAAAACCTAAGAACACAAATTAAAAATTCCAGAAATAGTTTTGAGGAAAAAAAAAATGTTTGGGGTCGTCTTCCCGAATCGCAGCTTCCCAATGGACATCTCCTCCTTCTCCCAAATCGACACCTTCCACTGGATTCTCGACATGAACACCTTCGTCGGTAAGTTTTCCAAATTTCCGCTTTTGTTTTTATTACGAGCGATGTTACTATTCTAATGTAAACTATGGCGATGGAGGGTTGAGCCGGGACGAAGATGAAGACCCATCACCAAGGCAATCCACCACTTTTCTTACCTTTTTTTTTTTTACTTCCAATATTTTCATCGGCGCAGTTTATCAATCTAGCGTATGGTTTTTCTAATGTGCACAGGGGAGGCGTACGATCAAGTCCACGAGCTGTGCATATTCCTCTTAAACAACTTCACACTCCCGCCGGACAAAGCCCTAGCCGTCTACATCCAGTCCCCGGGCTCCGCTTTCTTCTTCTGTGGCGCCGTCACCGTGGCTAGGCCTTCGGCGGTGCTTTCTCTGCCCTGGCCCGAGCCCGGCGGCCAGCTTCAGCTCACAGCCGACGCGACACCACTGTCGGCCAAAATTGGCGTGTCGGTGGAGGACCTGGCGACGCTGCCGTCGTTGGACGTCACCGCCGAGAAGCGAATCGAGCGGCTGGCGATGAAGGTTGGGGAGAATCTGTTCAATTTCATGCAGTCGTTTTGCGGCGTGGATGGGAGCAAGCTGGTGGTGCCGATGGACATATTGGACCGGTGGTTCAAGAAGTTTCAGGAGAGGGCTAAGCGCGATCCCGAGTACTTGAAAGGCTTCGCTTTGTAATTTTGTAAGCTCTGCTCTCTTTTTTGTTTTTCCTTTTTTGAAAGGTTGAATTTTTCGGTTTGTAATTGTAGTGCGTTTTTATGAAAATTACAACTTGATTTGGGGGTTTTTTCTCCATCCAATTCCAATTCCATCCAATGTGGTAAATGTTAGGTAGAACATAATTTTCGAATACGAACTTACTCTGTTATTATGTTTAATTCCTATGGATTGAATTTGACAGATTAGAAAATTATGTTTAATTCCTATGGTTTGAATTTGACAGATTAGAAACTGCTTATAGCGAAAATTAGACGGTTTTCGTCTCACTAGAAAAATGCGTGGAAAACCAGTATTTGAGTGTGAATTTAGGGCTGCGGCAAGGAGCTGAACTAGGCTTTGTAGGAGGAGTAAGAGATGAAACTTATCCCAATTGGTAGACTATAAACTATAACTTAATAGACTATAAACTAAAACTTTGGGAAAACCTCTTGTTTCTACCTCTTGGGGATTGTATTTCCTCACCAACTCAAGATATGGTTATTTTCAGGTGTTAGGCAGTAGAAGAATAGATCGATTTGGGTTCTGAATTAGAAGCAATGTGAATTTGTATAGAATTCCGGCAGGGTGTGCAGATGGAGTTGAATGCTGGTGACGACAATGGTAGCTTGTTTGAGTGGTGGTTAGGAATTTTGAATGCCAGTGCTGAAAAGTACGGCATTATGGATGGTATATGTTTGTTAGTTTGAATTTGATTGCGAGAAACCGACTAATCAGAGATCTGTGCCGGAGTTGTTACTTTTCTGTTCCCTTTAGAATTTACTTTGCCTGAATTTCCTCACTCATGTCATGTAATGACAACTATGTTTTGATAAGAAGCTCAGGCAAAAACTCAATGGAATGGAATGGAGTAGAGCTCGGCCAAATTTTAGGATTAAGATTATAATATGGTTGATTTAGGAGACACCAACAGCTTTCAATGTTGTACTGCCTGGAGATGAAACCAGTTTTTGGTTTGCTTGAAACGCTTTTATTTGAACAATGATCCCGTTTGGTGTCTAGGACTGGATTGGAATGGATGACCCTATAAATTCGAGGTATATTGAAGGTAGAGTCGAGGGGATTAAAACATGAATGAAAATCCTGCCTAAGTCCTACCGTTTTGGAGAGGACTGGAATGAACAATTTTTTCTTCTTGAGCATTCAATCTCTTAGCTCCAAGTTGGCCGCAATTTTTTCTTTTTTTTTTACTTCAACATAATCGTGACTTTTCCATTCTAATCCAATCCTCATTTTCCCTGCAGTTGACGGGAAATGAAGCATGTCGAAGAACTAATGGTGCGAAAGTTGGTTGAATTGAAAGAACTCACGAACTGAAAGAAAGCTAATGGTGACTATTTCTCCAAAGGCCCATTTGGTGAATTTGCAGAGAAAGTTTCAACTGTACGTATCAGTATCCGATAAAGGATCATAAACAATTATTAAAGCAATGAGTTTGGTGCTGCGAGTGGGACTTATACAAGCTGCTATCAATATGGAGTAGGGTTTAGTTTTAATCTCATGAGTCAACCATTGTTGCCTACACAAAGCATTGGTGATTGGAGGAGGGTTTAGTATTAATTCCACGAGTCGACCATTGTTGCCCGCATGAAGCATTGATGTGAGGTGGGCATTTATAGGCCGCTATCAATAGGAGGTAGAGTTTAGTTTTAATCTTAGGGGTCAACCATAGTTGGCTGGACGAAGCATTGTTGCCGAGAGTGGGCCATTTGTGAGTTGTTGTCAACACCAGTAGAATTCACACTTAAGTCGTAACTTTAACATAGTAACCCCTTAAAAAAAAAAAAAAAAAAAAAAAAAAAAAAAAAAAAAAAGGTTCACTACACCACGATGAGCCAAAAAAATATTCGAGTATACCAGCCTCTGAAACGTGCCAAACTCATGGTGTTGTTTTTACGACCTACTACTATCTACCATTTACTATTTATGTGATGCTAAACCCTAAACGTCATAGGCCTCCATTGCTTTTGCTGCGCATTGGGCCTTCCCGAGGGCATGAGTATGGGTTGAGGTTAGCGCCTGAGCTCGATAAGCTTGGACTGTTGTTGCATCTCCCTCCGTCTAAACCATCTTTTTAATTTGTTTTTGTTAAAATCTTCTTTTTGCCCTTACCATAACACCAAACTATCATCTTCATGATGTATTTTTGGTGTTTTATAATGCATGTCAAAACACTCGAAAACAAGGATATAAATATAAACACAAGGGTATTTGAATCTAAATAAAGTAAGGTGGGAAGAAAAAAAAAATCAATGGAAAAAGAAAAATAAATAAATAAAATAGAAAATGATACGATCGGTACTTAAATATTGATTGTCTACCATACCTGTCGCTATCTAGACAGCGACTACATCGGGTACAAATCACTAGCATCATACCGATCCCTCTTTTCAATTTGTTTTTTTTTTTGTTATTTTTTTCTTTTATTTCTCTTACCATAACAACAACTATCATATTCATATTCTTCAAAATATATTTTTCCATGCAAAATCTATTATAATTCATATTTAAACACTAAATTTAAAGATACTTGAATTTAATAGTGGTTACTCAAATAAAGTAAATAAATTGGAATAAGGAAAAATCAGTACCACGCTACTGATTATCGCCCAGTCGTACTTAAATCATCTTTCAATCTATTTATTTTTCACTTTCACTTCACCGTGAAGTTTCAAAAATTAAGGCAAGACTTTCCGTTGAGATTATTGAGAGTAAAACCCCATTCGACAATGTTTTGGGCATCACTACTATATTTTTCATTTATTTTTTTAATTTTTTGCTTAAATATTCTACTAAATATACATTTGTTGCTCAATAAATCGTAAAACTGCTTTCAAATGTCTTATAAAGTTTTCTTTAATGCTCATGAAAAATATATCATGAAATAAAAAAATTTGCATTTTTCACCAAAAAAAAAAAAAAAAACGTAGGTTATAACCAACTAGCTTTAGACCATCTCCAACCCTTAGATTAAAACTTAAATTTTTTGAAACATAAAATTTAAGTTTTAACTTAGAACTTGTTTTTTAGCTCCAACCCTTCTCGGTTAAATTTTTAGCCCGAGATTACTAAAGATTAATTTTTTTAAAGTAACTTAAGATTTTATTTTTCAATTATTTTAGCTGTTGGATTTAATGTTAGACTGTTAGATATTTTTTTACCGTTGGATTTGATCAGATTAAATATTAGCCATTGGATTCAATCAATTTATAAATATAAAACTAAAAAAGTACACATATATGGTGGGTCAACCTAAGGGTGGATTCGATTTCATTCGGTTTGGTTTTTTGCCAAAATCGACACCGAATAGAAAGGTTCAATTCAATTCAATTTTCTTTAGCTGTTTTTCAGTTCGGTTTTGGTTTTTTTTTTTTTTTTTTTTATTATCTTATAAAACTTGATATTTTTTTAATATGAAATTTAGAAAAGAGACTTGCATTGGTAGACTAATAATAAGAAGATGGGGAAAGTGGGAAAGTGGGAACATAGTTGTACGTATACAAGATCATATAAACCAATTCAAGAAAAATGATCACTTGCAAAGAAAAATGATCACTGTATACATTCAAAAAGCAAACAAATAGAGAAGCTCTTCTAAAACTTTCCTCTATAACCAATGAAATATCCTCCCTAATTGAACCAAATATGCTCCTTGAAAAAGTCCTAGGCTTAGTTTCAAACTTGACAACAAAGTTTCACAAAAGAAACATCATGGACATATATTCAAAAAGTGTAAAGGGATTCAATTCAGTTCAGTTTTCGATTTTTCAGTTTCGATACGGTGTTAGGTCTAATTTTTTTCGGTTTTTTATTTTTTAAATCCACCCCTACCCCACTAACTTGGGGGAAATTATGGCCTAAATTTACCCCATAAATGAGTTTTGAGTTAAAACTCATATTTAGTCCAAAAGATGGAGTAAGTTAAAGTAAATTTAGAACCTAAAATTTTAATTTTACTCCAAGAATTGAAGTATGTATTAATTTTGTTTCCACATCCCGTTATATGGCCTAAACTCAAACTCACTTCTTTTAAACTAGAATATTGTTACATAAAAAAATAAAAATAAAAAGAAAAAAAGAAAAACCAAAACAAAAAGTCACGCTTGCCTAATTCTAGCATAGAAAATTGCATCAAGGGAGTCGTGGGCCCCAATGCTTATAATTTAGAAAAATTAATGAAAACGGTTTGAAAATTTTGAAGATTAACGATAACGGCAAAATAAAGAGTAAAGTGAATAGTACCATAATTAACTTTTTAATGTAAAAATATGATTTTTAGTTAAAGTAAACAATACCGAGAATTTTTTGTTGAAATTCCTTATTAATTTTGCGTATAACAACCAATCAACATCAGTTAACTTGGGAACACCCATACATTATCCCAAAACTTGGTTTCCCCTCCAAGATCTTGGGGACGATCGTTGTATTTGAAAGCATGCTACAACATCTTTTAACAAAAGATTAAAAGAATAAAAAATATTATGTAAAATTTAGACATTTGTATAGGAGAATTTCTTCCACAGGCAGGTATACGGAATGATCAAAATACAAGAATACACAATTTTGTTTCTTCACTCATCTAGGTTCCAAAACCCACGAGACCAACACAAATTTCACAGTCAACACACACCCTTTTTATTTTTTACATACTCTTCTCGATTTTTAACTGTTAAATCGAATAAATTGAAAAATATTAATAAATTAACAAAAATGTGGAAAATAAATAAGTGTGTGAATAACACTATCATTTTAGTTATACGAAAAAAAAAAAAAAAGTTTTTATTAGCACCCCACATATTATTAAATACACTCCATATTAAAATTTATTATTAAATAACTTATATACCCTTATATAAAATGACTACTTAGGCCCCATAAGATTTTAAAAGGAAATTAAAAATTCTATACGCACACCAAATCACTTTAAATGTATAATTGTATGACATAAGGCTATTTCTTTTTTCAAGTTTTTAAAGTCACTATCATCCACTATTTTAGAACACAACCATAACCAATAAAATTATAAACGTGTTGATAAAAAATGTTATTTTTGACAATCAATGTTTTGAGGCTTTACATGATATAAGATGACACATCCCGATTCGGTTTGTCCACCTGGACTTCGAATCGAGATGTGCTGGTCGACACCAGAAGGATGACAAAGCCATAAATTGTAGTGATGTGAAAAATCTGAATAAATTTAAACCTAAAAGTGCCTAAATATAAGAGTGCGCATGTGAGCGGGGAATGAACCCGTTTCACACGTAATGTCAGAGCATAAGTAAAGTACAGTAAAGTAGGATGAGAATTATACCATCAAAGGTAACCACTTACACCAAGATTTGCCAAGAATCATTGTCGACACGAAAACTCAGCCTAAAACCTGGAGGGGCGAAAAACAAGGGTGAGTGGACCTAAAAATAAAGCTTTGTAAAACTTTTTTAAAACGTAATAACCTCTCGCTGTAAAACAAGTATAGTTTTCAAATATACATACTACGTATAGTATGAAAATACTTACCGTAGCTTGTAATACCTCAAAAATGTAAAACTTCACAAAATTCTTAAGTAAGCATATAACTTCCAGCAATCACAATATCTCACAGAAATATACATATTACATCGAGTGCTTATCGACACATGCTGACACACGAGTTCGTGTAAAGATATTCTGACATGAACATGACTGGGTGTGATAATTATTTACCCTCTAGTACCACAATCACGTGAAGACTGGCGCTATACGCATCACATACGAGTCCTAATTTCCTATAGCAATCTAGGACAGGACTAGCACCTAGAATGGATCCAAAGTGAGCGTACGTTGAGATGTGAACATACACGTGAAAAACTGGCCCTGGCCCCAGGCAAGTACTAACACCAGTGCAGCAACGATGAGCAGATA